AAAAAAAAAAAAAAAAAGAAAGAAAGAAAGAACAAATAATGTGTATGCTGTAGGACTACTGTGCTAATGAAATGACATAATGAATGCAGAACCTTTATTATAGTGACTGGCATGTAAGAAATCCTTAGTACATGATAGTTTTTAATGTCAAAATCATTCTTAACTTTGGAAGTCACATGTGTGGTAGGAGGAAGCAAAACAGAATTAGGGCCACTAGAAGAAAAACACTCTTTTCCACCTGGAGATTCTTCCTGTAATGCAAACTTTATTTTAGAAGGCACAGTTCTATTACAGGAGATGAAGAATCACTATCTGGCTGGTAGAGATTAAGTGATGAGCAGAATAAGGATGACATCATAAGAAAATGTATCCCTTTGCACATGAATATTAGAATGAATGTTCTAGCACCACTTGAAAATAAGTTTGGATTCCTTAGAAGAAAGACAATCATACACAAACATTTTGTTCAAATAAATTGAAAACTTAAGAAACAATATCCACATTCCAGCTTAATGTAAGTCTCAATCAAATCACATCTCCAAGACCTTAGTAAGATCTTCCTTCATCCCTCCCTCTCTATCTTCTCCTGTGTGTTTGTGTGTGCATGAAATAAAATACAAAGAATAGAACGTTTGAAGGTTCACCAAACTTAACTTTTCAAGAGTGGGACTATCAATTCTTGGACCTTCCAAGGAGAATGAAAATACAAGCTATTGGGCAACAACAACTATGATCAGAAAGTTAAAAAAATCTGTAAGTTATAAACCTACCAATCTTTCCCCCTATACCCCTTATATGAGTCAAAGTCATTTCCTTTGTTACAGAATCCCCCACAATGTCTTATTGTACATTAGCAAATCAGCATAATTTCATAAGTATCACTCACCATTTGGAGAACACCATTTAGTCTTAGCAAAGCTGCTTTATATATTACTGATAACGAGATGATGCAAACTAGGTAGGGGAGAGGAGATTGCTACTTTATTGGATTGTTTTTCAATAGTTTCAGTAAACACAGTTGAAAAATGGCTCATCTCCTGTACTTTAGTTAGAAGTTTAATAATTGTTAGAAATTACCATAAACAGGACTTGGTAAAAATAATAAAGTGAATAAATTAAAAAATAATAATTGTGGTAATTTAAAAAGCAGTAAGAAGCAGCTTTGGTATCATTTTCATAAACTGGTATCTGGCAATATGAAGATGACAAAAAGAATCAGAGCAACAGTGATTGTGTCTCTGCATCGGCCTGAAAGGTTGATAAAACAAGACTCCATGATATGCTTGGAGGTTGAGGTACACATCTAAACTGCCATAAATCCAAGCACTGAACCTACAATACTATGTAAATAATAAAACCACAATGGCAAAAATACTTTCCCTAAACAGCTTATTTCTGTCTATTGCAAAGAGGTAGGTTAGGGTCAATTCATGATCAATGACCTCAAAAGCTACAAGTATATTTAACTGTGTTACTGGGAAGAATGGTCATATGCAATCACTGGAAGGAAATCATCATTTAAAAATCTAGAGATGCTAATACTTGAGATCAATATAGCAGGTAATAATTAACATGCTACCCTAAATTTATTACACCATTAACACCTATAAATTCTTAAGAAGCCTGTAAAAGCTTCTAAAAGCCCAATAATATTACTAATTACTACCAGTTGATTACCCAACTGTGGTTGCAGACAGAGATTAGGCTCTATTAGTTATTAGCTATCAAGGCCAATCAGGTAAATAAATAGTGTTTTGCTAAAAATCTCAGGTGAGTTGAATCTCAGATTCAAACTTACAATATTTGGCCCCCAGGCTGCATTTTAATGCCTGGTAATACAAGTAATGAACATGAGCCACATTCCACAAGAGAAAAATGGTGCCCTGATTATCAGGAAACAGCATCAATGGGGCAACAAAGGAGAGGAGTCTTCCCCACAGCTCACTGATGGGTCACTAACCTATACAGAAATGTGATTTTTACCAGGAAACAGGCATCAGTGGTGAACTCACAAAGAGAAAGAGGGAGTCTATAGTTGTAGTTCTCAAAGACCAGCAACTTTGGCATCACTGAGTATTACTACTACTATTATGATCTGTTTTTAATCACAGGACACTTTTGACACCAAATGTGGGGTTTTCCACATTAGGTAATTCTCCAAATCTCTGGGGACACCAGCTAGGTATTGACATCAACTACCCAGAATTAGTGTGGACCTCTCAGTTCCATAATGCTACACCCTACTTCAGATGCCGTCGCAAGTACTAAGTGCCCAGGGTACCTACACTCTGTCAAATTTGGCTACACATCAGGGGTTCCCACAAGGAACTACTCAAGTGCAATATGTTAATAATCTTCTAACCCAGGTAGAAGGCTGCAAAACCCTTACAGAGCCCAAGACTCAGGAGGGCTATTTTAAGAAGGCAGGCCCAAACCCAGGTGGCAGCCTCATTGTAGTCACAACTACAGACTTAGAAACCTATACACTATAGTTTGAACCAATGTAAAAATAAAATGGACTTTTGTGTCATATAAAAATTACCAGAGGCAAACATAAAAGTTTGTTTTGATTTTAATTCTTATACTTAAGAACCCTGAAAATGGTCAGTAAAAGGGTATATTCTATATAATAAAAATCCTTTCTATTTGTACATTCATCAGTTTAAGGGTTATTTCTCTAATGTTTGGTTGCGTTTTGTTCATTATTTGTATTACCATATTCTAATCTGTCTTCCTGGAGTTAAATTACTACCCTGTGATGTTTCGTCCCAGGTTCACTGTCATTTCTGTTTAAGACAGAAAAAGAAACTGACTTGGGTACCTTTTTTGTTTTCAGTGAAATACCGTTATTTAGCATAAAATAAAAGGCACTGTAAGGAATCATAATACATTTAATATGGAATTCAACAAATACAAAATGGAAAATTGATTTATATCAGTTTCTCAGGGGCCCATTTATTATATTCACTTTTCATTTGTACATATGGTCACAAAACATATGCAAGTTACATGTACAAATTATATTAATATTTACAAAATAATTCCTTAAATAATTATTTCAATTCAGCTGGACACGGTAGCCCACGCCTGTAATTCCAGCTACTCAGGAGGCTGAGGAAGGAAGATTGCTAGAGACCAGGAATTTGAGACTGGCCTGGGTAACATAGAAAGACCTCCACCTCCGGAGGCTGCATTGAGCCGAGATCGCACCACAGCACTCCAGCCTGACGAGCGAGACTCTGTCTAAAAAAACAAAAACAAAAACAACAAAAAAAGAGAGACCTCCACCTCTAAAAAATAAAAAAAAAATTCTTTTTAAAGTGTAAAAGAATTATTTTACTTTAAAAATAAAACAGAAAATTAAAGTCTCAAGTTATTTAACAAGTCAAATCCTTTTTTTTTTCGCCTGAGACAGAGTCTTGCTCTGTCACCCAGGCTGGAGTACAGTGGTACGATCTCCACTCACTGCAACCTCTGGCTCCCAGGTTCAAGTGATTCTCGTGCCTCAGCCTCCTGAATAGCTGGGATCACAGGCATGCGCCACCATGCCTGGCTAATTTTTGTATTTTTAGTAGAGAATCGGTTTTGCCAGGCTGGTCTCAAACTCCTGTCCTCAAGAGATCTGCCTATCTCAACCTCCCAAAGCGTTGGACTTACAGGTGTGAGCCACGGTGCCTGGCCCAATTACTTAAATCTTAAAATTAAACATTCCATCAGAAGTCAATGGCCAAAATTCCCTTTTACATACGGCATAGTCTACCCAAGTCAAATCCTCTTCAGATATGAATTTCCCTACAAAACTGTGATAAGCAAAGAACACAAGCACAAAATTCCATTTAAGGGAAGCTTGGTGCCTAGAATCAGCTTTAGGGTAGAGAAATATTAAGGACAGAATTAGTCAGCCTTTGGTTTAGTGGATTAAGTATGGCCTGATTGAAAGCTGGGCAAAATACATAAAAGATTCTGCCTAATGTGTGGCCTAATAATTCACTGCACCTTGAAATCCATGCTATCGTACTTCTACAAATTCATTAATGATAAAATGATTCCAATAAAAAGATAGATTTTTATTTACAATTTCACCTAAAACAACCCAGCAATTTTTCAAAATCATTATAATATTGCTGCTGATGTTAAAAAATATGAAATTTCTTACTTGTATGGGGTAATTCTTTTCCTCTTCACAGTAGTCAATTGTGCTAATACAACAATTTTTCTTTTATTGTTCACTAATGAGACAGTAATTGCCATCGGAATCCTACTGGGAACCTAGACTTTTAAATATAATAGGCCTAAAGACAATTTCACTGTATTTATAATGATTTTGAGATATATTTTGTTCTGTATGAACACAACAGCAACAAAACATTTTCCCTTCTGTGCAAGATAAACTTCATATTATTTAGCAATGTGTAGTATACAGAAGAAACAGCTTTAACCAGGCAGATCTCAGGTTCTTCTTTCCAGCAACTAAATTAAAGAACAATGAACAGAAATGTTCCTTTTTATTTAAAGAAAAAAAAAAAAAAAAAAAAAAAAACCAACCTGTTAACCTATCATTAGAAATCCTTTAAAAAATTTTGCTATTTTAAAGTTTTTAATGTTTACATTAGAAATGTAACCTTCAGACTCACTTAGTATGAGTTCCAATGTACCACAAAGCAAAACTGCACACTCCAATTCAAATACTGATTATATATAAAGAACATTTATAGAAAGGTATTTTAATGTATTGTTGGCTGGCATCACTACCTTCAGAATTTATTTAGAATGTAAAGATTTCTAGAAATACATTTTAATTAACACTTTCTGGTGGTATATTTTGGTTGATAAACTGCACTTGGCAATTACCATCCTTTGGGACCTCAGGTACTCTTTTCTTAAACACTGTAGGTACTATTAATATTTACCACTCAACAGAAGGATTAACAAGTCTGTTTCTCATTCTTGGATTATAATCTTTTCTAAAGCCCAAATAAAATGTGAAAGGAGAATAGTACCTTTCATGATGTCCTAAATCCAAAAGAAATTCATCTGCATGTCTTTGGAGTTCATTTCCTTCTAAGTTCTTTAATTTCTTCAATTCACTCTGTAGGAAAAACCAGAGCTCTTTAGCTCCATTTTCAATCCTCCTCCTCAGGATTTCATGATCCTTCCCCAGACCTGCAGTCAAAGAATAGACCGTTGTAGCATTTCCAACATTTTGATAAAAGGAAACTTTCAATTACTTGTGCTAAAGCCCATATACTGAGGAGGGAAAAACAATGTATAAACACCTACCATTTCTGGTCTGTTTCTTGTAGTTTTCAATCTGTTCTTTGGCCTTAACAAGCTGTTCTTCTAAAACACGTACTCTTCCTGTAGCTGGCCCCTGATCAATGGGGCCTTCTGGTATCCTATAGTTCAGGAAAGAAAATGTAAACATTTAGCTTTTAAACTGTAAAACAAAATAGAAACTCACTTTACTAAAACATTTATACTGTAAATTCTATAAGCTGTTGAACCATATTGCACAAAAGAAGTACCAAACGGAATTTTCTCTTCAAAGGTATATGATTAACCAATGAAATGGACAATGAAATGATAATAAACAAAAATAGAAAATAATAATCTACCTCAGAAATCTATGATCTTCTAGGAGTCAACAAACTTCTAGAACTTTTTCCTAAAATCTTTCATTCCATTACTTAGAGTATCACCATCACTGGCAAAGTGGTCAATTCTTCATTAGTGGTTAGGAGTAAGAAAAGTGAAGGAAAAAGTAAAGAAAAGGCTTAAAAGAAATAAGGAAGTATATCTGAACATGTGTCTAAGGATATGCTCAAACATCAAATATAATGTTATTTCTAAATTAATTACAATATCAGATTATATAAATCTGTCTTTCAATTCGTGACCTTAAAGTACTAAGTATTGGTTTTATATAGAAAAAAGAAAGACAAGAGCAGATGAAACATACTGGGAAAAAAAAAAAAATGGGCCAAGTGTAGTAGCACATGCCTGTAATCCCAGCACTTTGGACGGCCCAGGTAGAAGGATCACTTGAGCACAGGAGTTCATGGCCAGCCTGGGCAACACAGCAATCCCCCATCGTTACAAAAAATAAAAACACTAGCTGGGCACATGGTGGTGTGTGCCTGTAGTCCCAGCTACTCAAGAGGCTGAGGCAGGAGGGCGGTTTGAACCCAGGAGTTTAAGGTTACAGTGAACTATGATAATCTCACTGGATTCCAGTGCAGGCAGCAGAGTAAAAAACCCTGTCTCAAAAAAATAAAAATAAAAAAATGGAAGATTACTGTCTTACTCATTTCTATCAGCAACAAAAAAAAAATCAGTCAATAATATAAAATTTTGGAGCACAGAACAGCAATCCAAGATCTTTTACTTATATTGTCAACCTCTCTGTTCAACTTAATTCCAAACTGTGCTTGTTCCTAACATGTTTTGTTTTTATATGACTTTTGGAAATATACTATACTCCACTTTGATGTACATAATACAATTTTGTGTGAGGCTAAACAAAGGTCTCCCAAAGATATCCATAACATAATCCCTGACACCCGTGAATATTACTTCATGGCAAAAGAAGCTCTGAATATGTACATAATTAAGGATTTTGAAATTGGATTATCTAGGTGGGCAATTTTGTAATAACAAGTGTCTTCATAAGAAGAAGTTAGAGGAAGATTTTACTACAGAAGAGGAAAAGGTTATATGTTACGTGGCTGTTAGCTCTGAAGACAGAAGAAGCGGCCATGAGCAAGGAACACATTTTTAGAAACTGGAAAAGGCAAACAAATGAACAAACAAAAAACCCTAGATCCTCTCCTAGAGCTTCTCTAGGGAATCCAGCCCTCCTGACACCTTGGTTTCAGTCAGTGAAACTCATTTGAGATCTCTGGCCTCCAAAACTGTAAGATAGTAATTTTATGCTGTTTTAAGCCATAAAATTTGTTGTATTTGTCAAAGCAGCAATAGGAAATTAATACACACATATATAGATCCCTTTACAAAATTGTCCTAAGATCAAATAGTTGATTTTTCTTTCAAAGTCTATTTAAACGAGGAAATATCTGTAAAGGTACTTAGCACAGTGTTGGGCAATAAATTTTATGAAGGCTACTATTATATCTGAGCTTTGTCATTTTAGAGATGAGCTGTAATCTCAAAAAGTCTGGGCTATCTATTCTTAACATCACAGTTTAAGAGAATTTAATTTTTAAATGATAATTGGCAGCATTTAAATTCATATGTCAACATAGTCTTTATTTTTCATTTATTTATTTATTTTTTGAGACAGTTTTGCTTTGTCGCCCAGGCTGGAGTATAGTGATGTGATCTTGGCTCACCACAACCTCTGCCTCCAGTGTTCATATGATTCTTGTGCCTCACCCACCTGAGCAGATGGTCATGATGGCATGTACTACCACACTTGGCTAATTTTTTTTAGAATTTTGGTAGAGACGGGGTTTCATTGGATTGGCCAGGCTGGTCTCAAACTGCTGGCCTCAAGTGATCCACCCACCTCAGCCTCCCAAAGTGCTGGGATTACAGGCATGAGGCACTGCACCCAGCCAACATAGCCTTTGATACAAATACTCTTGACACAAAAGGTTTTTTATAGCTTTTCTAACATTTTTTATATAACCTGATGAAGCCAAATTAACTGTCAATTACCTCTACTACTTCAGAATACATGCTTAATAAACTAGCTATTGTTACAGCTATACCAAAGTAACTGGAGACATTTTATAATTTCCTATAAAATGGTATTCATTAACATTGAACAGGAACATAAAAAGTAACCATCCTCCAATCATGAATTTCCGAGGCTACAGAATATCAATGAAAAAGGCTTCATTTGTATAAGCGCAAAGTGAATAATAATAAAATGAATACAGTAGTTGGTGCACAATTACCCAATTTATGAGCACACGTACATTCACAAATGAGGCATGTCTGGTATATAGGTTTTAAAAGTTATGTTTCTAAGACTTGGCTTAATCTCTTTCTGAATTAGGTGGCTGGTTTCTAGGAAACAATTTGAAAACTGAATAAAACTTCAATCTCTTGGGATTTATTTTGACAGCAATATACCATAGGACAGGTGTGTCCTTTTTCAGAATATATTTTAATGATAGAAATATTAATAATAGAAAGATTATGTCTCGGTTCTCCTTTTTATCTCATTTCTTCAAATACTGGTGGAATGAATACAAGAGGCAAAACAGCCATAAAAAATAGCATACAATCTTTTCAGTAGATTTCCTCGAAGATTTCCAATTTAATTACAATAAAACATAATGGCATTAGTAATCTATATCACCTAATAATCTAATCCAACTGTGGGGAAAAAAAGTGTACATAAAGAAAAGTACTAGGAAAAAAATCACTCTAAAAAAAATAGAGGAGAACTATTCTTTCCAAACTGCATCCAGAAAAGAGTCAATATGCAAGAACAGTCTCTTTTTTGAATACTTAGGGAACAGAATGCTTCCTTATTATATTCAACATGCTAAAGATATACATTATCTAAGATTTCCACTTCTGGCCAAGGCATTTACCATCCTGCCTGAAACAACTCAAAATCCAGAAGAGATATATTAAACAATGATCAAATGAAGCTGTAATCAGGCAACAAAGGGCAGTCATCATGAGAGAAGGAAAACAAATGATGACAGCTCTATGACTGTCCCATCTTACTGCATTCAGAGAGTTTCCAGACCACAGTATATGGAGGGGAAATGCAGATGGAGCCAGTATATTCACTGAGTTGAAGAAATGGAGCTAAGAGTCTAAAAAGACCAGGAAAGAGTTTGAATAACAGAGAACTGTAGAGGAGAGAGAACTCCAGAAATCTGCAAAGGTACCACTTGAGAATCAGCAGAGTACTTAGCACACACGTAAGGAACTACTCAGGCTGGGGAAAGAACTCTCTAAAAGGATTAGAGGAAGTAGTACCTGGGATTCATACAGATTAGCTAGAAACAGTTCCTGATAACACCAGCCAAACTAGAAAACGGTAATTTCTGGGGCACTGGGTAAAATGCTCAGAAGGATTTCGCCTCAATAGTAGGGAAATGTGCCCCAGACCAAACATTGCTTAGGTCCTGCTTAAAAATTCTTAAAAAACAAAATAGGATCCAGTTATTTTTAAATAACTATATCCCAGAACAAAATTTAAGAATATTAGTAAATTATACAAAAGCTTCTAGTAACAAACAAGGTAAAATTCATGATGTCCGGAATCCACAAAAGTTACCAGGCTTGCAAAAAAAAACAAAAGTCAACCCATAAAGAGGAGTAAAATCAATCTATCAAAACCAACTTAAAACTGACACAGATGTTAGAATCAGTATAGATGTAACAGTTATTACGACTGTATTTCATATGTTCAAAAGTTAGAGACAGGGAAGATATTAAAAAGATGTTAAAATTTTAATAAATAGGGCAGGCGCAGTGGCTCATGCCTGTAATCCCAGCACTTTGGGAGGCTGAGGTGGGCAGGTCACCTGAGGTCAGGAGTTAGAGACTAGCCTGGCCAACATCGTAAAACCTTATCTCTATGAAAAATACAAAAATTAGCTGGGTGTGGTGGCGCATATCTGTAATCCCAGTTACTTGGGAGGCTAAGGCAAGAGACTCGCTTGAACCCAAGAGGCAGAGGTTGCAGTGAGCCAAGATCATGCCTCTGCACTCCTGACTGGGTGACAGAGCAAGATTGTCTCAAAAATATATATATTTTTTAAATAGATACCCAAATAGAACTATTAGAGATGAAAACTGTGATGTCTGAAATGAAAAATATAAAGAATCAGATTTACTGCAGATTATAATTGTAGCTTCTACCTAAGAAACTAAGAAAAAAGAGCAAATGAAATTTCAATTAAGTGGAAGAAACAAAGTAATAAAGATCAGAGAGAATATCAATGAAATGGAGGAAAAGTAAAACAGATAAAAATCAATGAAAATGGTTCTTTAAAAAAAAAAAAATCAATTAAATTGTCAAACTTTTTCCTAACAAATATTTTCGGTTTTAAGGGCCAGCAAGCAAAATCAAGGCTATTACTTAGATACATATATAAAACATTTAAAATGTAACAACTTAAAAATGTAAAATCAATCTTAGCTTGCTAGCCATGAAAAAAAGAGGTGGTTGGTAGGATTTGACCCATGAATCATAGTTTTCCAAACCCTATTCTAGCCACACTGAACAGGAAACAGAAGGGGAATACTTCCCAACTCATTCAATAAAGCTAGTATTATCCAGATATCAAAACCAGAGAAAGATATTGTTAAAAAAAAAAACAAAAAACAAATTGCAGAACAGTATCTCTCATGAACACAGATATAAAAATTCTAAAAAATTTTAGCAAACTAAACCCAACCATATGTA